ACAAGTACGAGGAAGCTGTGAAGACGAGCCTTGCCTGGGCCGCCCTATCACGGCACTGAGAGAAAAAAACGTCCGAAAAGTGGAGAAAATCGTTCTGATCGACTGAAGAATTAAATTGTGGAAGATTGCTGAAGAACTGCAGATTAGCCAAAAATGAATTTGACAAATGTTACAAAAACATTTGAATATGAGAAAAATTAGTGCGCGTTAGGTACCGAAAATGCTCACAACGCTCAACAAGCAACGTCGACTCGCAAATCGCGAAGATTTTTTGGAGCTAGTCGGCGATAACAAGGAAGACATTTAGCAATGGATAGTCACCGTAGATGAAACATTTACTACGATTTCATGGATATCAATTTTTTTGTTCGGAACCCTAATTTTGTTTTTGAGTAATGTTACCATCTTATAAATGTTGACAAATATTGACATTAATATTTATACGATACTAACGTCACTCAATTGTTTTGCCTTCCCGGAACCCCTCCACTAACACTTAAACTTTCTGGTATGGTATTAACGTTCAAATTGACTTAAGTATTATTACGAATGTTTTGTATGGGAATATAGAAAAGTGTTGTTTTTAGACTTTTTCGGGCAATTTTTTAAAATTTTCTCTATGTAAGAACTATCTTCGTACTTTAAGGAATATTATAAAAAAAGAATTAGCGAAATCGGTTCGGTTGCGAGACCCATTTATTATAGAAGACTAGACACTAATGTTTTCATTTTTATTGTTAAATAAAAATATAATATTTATCAAAAACAAGAATTCATATGCACATTATATTATTAGAAACTAAATATAAATAGAGTAGACATAAATTTAAGTATGAAATTTATTGTCTGAAAATTGTATGATAAAACATGCTTATATACATTTGTACTCATGAAGTACTATAAATAGTTGCTGCCTTTGGAAATGCAGTAACTGCATAAAATAACCATAAATTTTATTGAATGTTACTTCCATCTGAAAAATGATTAGAATTACCATCAAGTAACGGCTAAAGAAGGTTATTTCAAAAATCGTTTTAATTGATTAAACTTAGCTGGTATCCGCAACTCCATGACGATTTTAATTAATATTATTTATTTATTCATAAAATATTATTTTATTTACTTCAAATGCTAAGTATATGCATTTAGTGAGGAAACACAGCCAGTATTCTTAGCACTGTACTATGGGGAGTGGGACCGTATTATAATTTAAGTTTTCAGTGTTAGTTTTTTTTTATTACGTTAATAAATATTATTACATATTTGAATGTTATGTAAATAATTGGTTATTTTTAAAATATGGTTTACACATACAAACATTTGATATGGATAATAGGTAATAATAGATATGGATAGAACTAAAATATCCTGCTAAAACTAGTTATTAAGTAATTATCATAGATTTTATTATAATATCTTAAGCAAAAATAATATAACATTCAGCAGTTAAATATATGCTAATAAACTCCACACTACAACACGTAAAACCTTGAATTGCATAAATTAAATTATATTAGCCTTCACTATTATACTACAGATTAGAATCATAACATTTAATAAAAGCATCATATAATATACAAGTTTTAATAGTAAATTAAAATTGTTCTTTAGTTAATAGCTCATTACTATAAGGCTTAGAAATGTACTATAAGCCTTACTGTTAAAAATGTATTCCAAATTTTGTCAAAACTCCAGGTTCGCACAGCAATATTTTTTTATAGGAATATTGTGACAAGCGAGCACACAGTCCACCTGATGTTAAGTGGTTACTGTTACACATAGACATCTACATCTATCATCGTTTGCCAATCAAAATGCAGATGCGTTGTTACCCATGAGGACTAAGATGAAATGCCTCGTTTGCAGTAAAAAGGGTCTCCGCATCAGCATCATGAAGCTGCTATTTTACGCTGGTATTCAGTGAGAGTGTGATTCTTCCCTGGTCGAACCAACCCATTTGTGTTACAACTATACAATTTATATAGCTGTAGCATGGCTCTACCATGTATACAAATATATCACAATATATAAATACGCACAGCTAATGTAATAGTTATAACTTGGTGCTAGTCACCATAGTGAGACTTTTCACACACTTGGTAAGTGGATTGACAATCCTAGTATCTTGGATACTAGACTTTTATCCTTTTTTCTTAAAATAATTGGTCCTGTGTTATTCAATAGATTTTTTTTATTTAGTTTCTCATTGTATTGATTGGATGTCATTCTTACTCCAAATTAAATTAAGTTATGACTCAATATGAGAATGTTATGTACACTTGTAATTGAAATACATTTCATAGATTAAAAAATGTACATGTTTTAGTAATAATATATGTGTATTCTAATAATAATAATATCTTTATCTGTTGATCACAAATAAAACATAAGGACACTTAGTACACTAAGTGTACTTATGGAGTAATTAAATAAATAGAATGAGTCATTTTTCACCTTTGTCACTGTGGTGCACTTTTAGTCCCATTTACACAGACTGAACTTACTATGTCTTGAAGTCTTGCAGTGGTATGCTTGCATTTAGTGTTAATTTTATTAATTACAGAATCCCAAGCAAGTGGCAGTACCCAGCCTCCTTCTCTATTGAAATTAGGATGTTTTTAATTTCAATAGCCTTACATACCATCTTTGATAAGAATAGATGTTCTTTATTAAGAATTTGTGGTTTATCATATCTGTTATAATGGCAGGGCAAACTGCAGATTTTTAAAGCAGTCTTCTGCAGAAGGAAGTCTGCAGTTAAAAATAAGTATAATTAAACGCCATCAAAATAATTTTATTACATTTTAATGGTGTTGCACGACTAACGTGGCATTGATGGGGTTGGGAAAACCAAATGCATATTTTTGGCCCCATGGCCTCACAAGGTAAACGTAAATAAAATTATAAATACACAACTAGTCCAGAAATCTTTATTTTCAGGATTCACATCCAGGACAAAGCAGCAATCTTGCAACCTTGAAACAATGAACCTTGAGAGAGTAACCAAGTGACCACTAGGCAAATGGCGGTACTACAGAATGAAAAATTACTTCCCACAAATTATTCATAAATTTCACGAATCCTGATTGTCAATTGTGTTCTGGCAATTATTATTACAAAAGCCATCACAATCATTGTTGCTTTTGTAGGTTTGCATTTAAAAAATATATTATTATACACTATTAACATTATAATACTCCATTAGACAATCCAAGGTAGCCTAAAATGTGTGTGTCAGGAGTGGTTCATGACAGTAGTTTAATGGCATATTCGAAAACATTATTTTCTGAGTATTTAGACCGCATCCTTGATCTTGCTTAAAAACAGTGTCGGGCGCATTTTAATAAAATTGTCTGTCTATAGCCTCACTTGAAGTATATTAAGTATTATTTCTATCAAGTATACATACATACTATTCTGTCACATATAAAGCAGTTATCACTGGATATTGCAAACTGGGTTGGTACAATTTTTAAAGTATTAATTGATTAACTTCCTGTTTTAAAGTTGTTAAATAAACAAAAACTTGCCAATATAATATTTAAATATGTACATAAGTGAACTTCTTTCTTATATATCTTGAGAATAAATAATGATGACAAAAGCAAAACAGTTCCGATTAGCATTTTATTGATAATGCATTCATTGAATGCAATTCTGCAATTTTTAAACAAAATGTTTGATTACTCACTTGCAATTAGTATTTGAATTGGAAGTTAACTGTAGAGGCAGTAAGAATGGCATCTACACCTACTTAATATACTTTCAATAGTAAAATTTTTTAAAATTATGCATATTTTTTAATAATCGACATTTTTTGTTACAATGTCATTTGATTCATTGGGAAGGTAGTTCAATCGCAAAGTAATCAATTACAAAATTTGACCCTTACAGACACGCACAAAAGCTATTAATAAATATGTAGTATAATAATATATTATGCATTGACACCTATATAGCTCAGCCTTCTTGCAAATGGAGAAATAAGCTTAATATCAGTATTAACATATATTTTTTATAGGATAGGGTGACAAACGAGCACACAGTCCACCTGATGGTAAGTGGTTGCTGTGGCCCATTAATTTCATTTATCCTCGTTTGCGAATTAAAATGCAGATGCGCTGTCACCCGTGAGGAGTAAGATGGAATGCCTCTTTTCCAGTAAAAAGGATCTCCGGTTCTCTACACTCACCATACGAAACACAGCAGTGTTAAGCTGCTATATATGCTATATAACCCATTACTAGGAATAATATAAAACGGAATTAACTTGCTAGCCATTCTAATTTTGTTAACCTAAATTATGACTAAAATTAGATAAGAACATTAGATAATAAACTTTTTAATCATTCTCTGTACCTCTCATCTTGCTTAGAAAGAAATTAACTGTATTAAATAATGCATGCTACATTGTTTATAGTTAGCATAGCTTGTAAAAATTTATACTAGTATTGTAGCCTATAGGATGTATATTATGTTTTTTCAACTCATATTTAAATGGATAAATCAAAATATAGTAGGTCTTTGCAAATATGAATACTTGGCAAGTGGACACATAGCAGCTTAGTACTTAAACACCGGCCCAACAGCAACTGAAGATTATTCAATTAACTGTTAGAGGTTATATCTATATAGAAGATTCTTAGGCGTTTCTCATATTTAACTCCTTATATCGAAATAAAATAGACAAAGGTTCTTGAGTTCTTTTAGGCAACTAACATATACGATGAATAGTGTATCTTTAACAGCTTAATTTAAAACTGTTAATGTGGTATAATGTGAAGAATTTTATAACTGTCATAAAACATTTTTAACATAACCTTTTTGTACACCCATTCATAATTTTATTTATTTTCATAAAAATTATATGATTTAATATATACTAAATAAATTCATTAGTGACAAAAGGGCCACTTATAACTCATTCAGCCTAAGTGTTTGTCTTTGAGATATAAAACATAAAATAATAAAATATAATGAAAGTGAACAAATCAACTTACAGAATCATTCTCTTGTCTCAATGCTTGGTACAACTTGTCTCTCTTTGAAAGGAGGTCGTTCTGCTGTTGTATCAGATCCAAATGATAGATAAGAAGATCTTTTAATCTCTTGTTCTGGCCCTCAGCTGCTGCTAACTTTTCAGAGAGACGACTGACCTCAACTTCAGCACTTAAACTTTTGTCTTCTGTGACAGCACAATGAGTAGAGATTTCAACTTCCTTTTCCAATTGCAGCGATCTACGATCGGCGGTTTCCGAGTGACAAGCGTAGATATGATCAAATGGAAAGCTAAGGAGACCGTCTTTTGTGTCCAATTGATTAAGGGTTGTGAGATCCGCCGAAAAATTCACCAAATTCGTTTCATTTACACTACTGCGACTGTTCATTTTTAAGAACCCGATGTTAATCTCGTTTTCGACGAGCCCACCGGCTGTCAAATACAAACCACCCAACCGCACAATTGTTCATAGCATTACAACGGATTCTATAACAGTTTATCACACATCAGTACTTCACACGGAAAATATTAAACGCGATTGTCCGTAATTACATTGTCAAAACAGACTCAAATCTACGTACTTGTCTACCATTCTATTCTGACATTTCTTTTATGCACATGTAAAATGATAATAGACGCAGCTATGTATTTATTGGTATCACGGGTCAATGATCTGGATTTTTATACCGAGACGCAGCATTCATAACGATAAAATAATATTCAAATTAATATGTACATTACATCACTTAAAAATACTTAGTTTTATGTAAATCAAATAAAATTTGTAATAAAATTTATTAACTAGCGTCAAGGCGTCAACCGTAGACATCTTTTAACTTTTTTGTTTGAAAATTCAAACACAGAGGTCAGGGGCGTAGGAAGGCATTGAGAAACAGCCGCTGACAACCATAGACAAAATGTTGATATAATATATGTAATTTACGATGCCTGTGATTTTTACTTTAATATATATTTAACATAATATTATACTGACTTTAATAGGTATTCATGAAAACTTTGTAAAAATAATGTTATGCATAAGTCATAGAGCAACACGAGCCACCGGCGAATCAGAAGGGAATAACCATAAGTAGGCGTTCTCCTACGTCATAGTATTAAGCCTCGAACGGACTATGCGTTCTGGGATATATGATTTGCGGATACTGTTTAGCCAACTCGCGACTTATCACCACGCGTTCATCCGCCATGTCTCAACACACAGCTATCGTGTGCACTACCACTGGGGCTCTTCTCCAACACATTAAAAATAAGAAAAAGAAAAGTTGGAGTGAACGTGGTTACCGTGTTTGCAGTCCATTGAGTGTTAACATCAGCTTTGACGAGCAACCAAAAGCCGACTAGTGACGACTCAAATTGTATACGCATTGCGCTGGTATGGACTACGCGTACATTAGAACTCTTAGTCCGTACATGGATTTAGAAGTCCGCGCGATCTTATGCCTTTAATAAAACTAGTTGCAGCCGTACTGCTCATTACTAGACTAAATCTAGTTGCGAGGCTGATTCGACGTCCTACAAAAATGTATAATTGTTCGGTTTGTTGCTGCAAACAGAGATCTGCCACGTCAAATTTACAAATGGATTACCTTTTATACCGCCGCTCCGCGCTGAGAGTGGAGGAGTTCATTTGTCTACCGATATCTTACATGGCACCAGGAAGTATCATACCTTACAGCACCGTCTGCTAAGCAAATAACAGCACGTCTTTTACGTGATTTAACAATCTTCGTCTATTTCCACTTCAATCCTCCCTGAGGTGCCGCAAACGTAAGTCGCTCGTCATAAACTGAAACCACTTCTAGGAACTTACAAATTTAAAATTTGGAAAAAAAATTCTAACAACTATAAATATATCTATAGTCAGTGTAGACAGGTGTTGACAAAGAAATTGGTGTGCTTAGTTTCAAGCACATAACTTGAAACTATGATGGAGTTTTTATGTTATACAGGGTCATTTTTAATTTACTAAAGACCTTTTGGGAATATATTGGTTACATCATTACAAACAATTTTAGCGAAATCACTCTTCACAGAATATAATACATTAACAAAAAAACTACTTTTAAGGTTTTTTTGTCATGTCTGACTCCTTTTAAGTCTGTATTTTGTAGTACCTAAACAATGTCAGAATAAATCGTCAAAGAAAATGCCTTATTTATTTTACACTTGATATCAGTATCACACATTGTGTTGAAATCATTAAACATAATTAAATGAGCAAATGACATTAAAAAAAAACTACAAATATTAAAATTTATAATAAGTAAGAATGACCGCCGGGCCGGTCGACGCCCGCGCTCAGCTGATTGAGTTGCGAGTGCCTACTAAACCATTCATCACTGTGCCTATTGCACCAGGGCGCCACTTTAAATGACTTTACATTAACTCTTCATATACTTCTTTATTTTGCATAAAACCATTTGATGAATTATTTGATTCTTTTATTAATTTCTTTAAGAATTAATAGACATTCTTTAATAGACACTTAGGTAGTTTTTTTTTTACGAATACTGTTTGCTAGCAACTCTGCCTGCATCCAAGAGGCAACGCCTCAACGTCGCACATGCGGCGGCCCAAGGCCAAGCCAACGATATAATATTATAACGTCGACACAGGTGTGACCGTCATCAAAGGCGCCGTCATCAAATGCCCTTTTCGGTTTGCAGGCATCGATTTGGTGATCGATGTTTGCAGCACGTGCAAATTAAATGAGTATTATTAAATGTATTAATTATTATTATGTATTAACTTATATTAAATAATTTTTATTTAATGTAAGTTGTATTTAAAAAATGGATGCAGGTTAAAATAATTACAAATATTACAATAAAATATTTATAATGATTAAATACAAATTAACAGTAACTGAATAAAGATATTAAGGTATAATGGTTCAATAAAAATATTAAAATACAAATTTAAAAATTAGACTTACCTATGTACTTGCCCGCGGATGGCGATGAGTATCGCGCACATAGCGTTCAAAATAATCACCTCCACATTCTATGCATAGGTGACACCTAAAACTTAACTATTCACCGACACGAGATAATACTTGATGATTCATTTTGATTTGATCGAATGCCCAAATTATTTTTTCTTTCAACATGTCGCGGGTTTCGAATGCTCGACCAGTATACACTAATGTCTTTACATACCCCCACAAATAAAAATCCATTGGTGTGATATCTGGCGATCTGGGAGGCCATGCACAAGGCCCATCACGACCGACCCAGCGACCAGGGTATTCTCTGTATAAATAATCCTTAACTTGGCGAGCATAGTGTGCCGGCGCCCCGTCAATTTGGTAATACATATTGCGTAGAGATGCAAGTGGTATGTCCTCTAACAACTCTGGCAGCGTGTCGGTGAGAAAACTATGATAGCTTTCACCGTTTAATCTTTCTATGAAGACCGGGTCCAGTAACGTTGTATTAATAACGCCTGCCCACACATTGACACTAAAGCGGTGTTGAAAGCTATGCGGTCTTAGTTCATGTAGATTTTCATAGCACCACAAGTGTTCATTGTGCGAATTAAATAGTCCTATTCTGCCAAATGTTGCTTCATCAGTCCATAAAATGTTGGCTCGTTCTGCAGCTAGTAACCAGTTACAAAATGTAACTCGCGCTGGTATGTCAGCTTCGCTGAGTTCATGAACACGATGCAAGTGTACATAATACAAATGTTCTATGGAAAAATTTGAAGTCATTCGCGTTACCGTCATTTAAAAATTCGAATGACTTACCAGAACACTTTAGTGATCCTGACGAAATTAATCGTCACTTTTTGAGTATACCGGGAACAAATAATATCGTCAAATCATTTAATGTAAGGAATCTGGAAAGCAGAAACTGTATCTCTAATACTTTTAGGTTAATACCAGTTCATGAAAATGTGGTTGCAAAAATCATAATGGGTATTAAGTCAAATGCTCAAGGTGTTGACCGCATTAATATGGATATGATAATTCTAACGCTTTCGAGAACTTTAAATGTTATCACTGCAATTATTAATAAATCCATAACAGAATCTGTTTTTCCTTCTTCTTGGAAAACTGCACTTATTCGTCCAATACCTAAAAGAAGTAACCCAACAAATGTAGGTGACCTAAGACCCATTAGTATACTGCCTTACTTATCAAAAATACTTGAGAAAGTTGTTTCCTCACAAGTAATAAATTTCTGTGAAAAAAACCAATTAATACCCAACCTACAATCAGGTTTTAGAAAAAATTACGGAACAGCAACAGCTCTTATTAATGTCGTGGATGATATATTGTCTTTTTCGGATTCTGGAGAAGGTACTATTCTCACTTTATTAGATTTTTCAAGGGCCTTTGACTCAATTAACACAAACTTACTGATTTCTAAGCTTTCATATTATGGTTTTGATAATGAAACACTCAAGTGGTTTAAAAGTTATTTAACTGACCGAAATCAACAAGTAATTTTAGACAGGCATAATGGTAAATACTTTATTTCTAAGCTTCTTCCTGTTGATAGAGGTGTTCCTCAAGGATCTGTGTTAGGGCCTTTGCTTTTTATTATTTACAGTGCTGATATAATAAACTGTCTCAAAAACTGTAAATACCATCTATACGCTGATGATTTACAGGTATATATTCCCATAGATCGAAAAAATATTAACACATTAGTAAATAAGTTAAATCAGGATATTCAACGTGTTTGCGATTGGTCACAAAATAACTCCATGGTTCTTAATCCTTCAAAGTCAAAATTCCTTATAATTGGCACTAAAAAGCAGGTACATGATATAGCTATAACTGAACCTGATATACATGTTAATGGAGAGAAAATTGCACATGTTCATGAAGCACGAAATTTAGGCATTCTTTTTGACAGCAATTTTAGGTTTGAAAATCATGTGATTAATTTGGTACAAAACTGCTTTTACAGGTTAAAAGTTCTATATAGATTTAGACCATTTATCACAGTTAATTTACGTGTAAAGCTTTGTGAAACCCTAGTTTTAGCTAAATTAAATTATTGTATAACTGTTTATGGACCTTGTTTGCTTAAAAAATCACAAAAATTAATCCAGAGGGTACAGAATGCTTGTGCTCGCTATTGTTTTACATACCGAGAAGAACTCATATTACATCATATCTTAATGCCTCGAATATATTAAAAATGCAGGGGCGTCTCAAACTTTTTTATGCTTCTTTGCTATTCGGCATAATAAATACAAAGAATCCAGAATATTTATACAAAAAACTTAATTGGAGAAATGACCAACATGGATATAAAACCCGAATATTCTCAAAGGTTTTTTGCGTCCCTAAACACAAAACATCGGCTTTCCGAGGCAGTTTTAGGTTTATGGTAACTAAGTGTTGGAATGATCTCCCACCACCACTACGCACTACGAAAAGTAAATCGAGTTTTAAAAAGAAATATAGACGTCACTTACTAAGAGAACAAATACTGTCATAAGCGGTTTATTTTTACCTAATTGCAGGACCGCCCTGTAAATACTTAAAACAAATAATAAACATTGCTATGTAGTAGGTGGGGAAACAACTTATATGAGATTAAAGAAGTTAGGTTTGTTAATATCATTATTATTTTATAATTTATATTACTTATTATTAGTTATATTGTTGTAATAATTATTTATTTATTTAAAAAAAATGGTAATAAAAATATATATATTTGATTATTAATTTGAACTGGCTAATAGTCGGGGATCCACGGTATGTACCCTAATGTGAATAGTTGTGATTAAAGGGATGCGTGCGTACTGTACTGTTCATATGTTGGGCGCTGGCAGAATAACAGCGTTGTAGGCAACTGCAACATTTATGCTGAGCTAGAGCCCATTCATTACTACATTATGTAATTCTTGTCATTTCTGTATGTACTCATTTTAACTTTATTGGTGGTAATGAATAAATGCTTATTATTATTATTATTATTATTATTAAAATAAAAATTGAAGAAATATAATTTCTTTTCTTACAGATGTTGTTGTTATGATGTAAATAATATATTCCCAAAAGGTCTTCAGTAAATTAAAAATTACCCTGTATATATTATATTAAAGCTTTTAAAAAGTTACTTCGCAAGCATCCGCTCTATAAAATAATTTTATAGAGCGGATGTTTGCGAAGTAACGTTTTAAATATTGTCGTCAGTGTTGTGTCTTTCCTAGTGTAGTGGTGCTGGGATTAGTGGTGACGGGGATAGTGCACGCAATTGAGGGATGGCGGGAGGTACTCTTCATACTAGGTAAGACACATCATTTTATTTTATTATTTATACGGATATTTGCGAAGTAAATTTTTAAAAGCTTTAATATAATGGATTACCGCAAAGTAACGCCTGATTCCATTAATTATATATTATATCATTATTTAAATGTATGTTTAAAGATTTAACAATAAAATAATATCACAATGCACTAGTAATTTTTGTCCCTATAGTCTATACTAATATAGCGTACAAAACAATTGCATACAAAAGACATGACAAAAAATTTAGTTTTTTGCTTAAAGAGCGTGACTTAGCAATCGAAAATGTTAAGCCGCGTTCACAATAAAGCACAAAAAGTAAAATAAAACAGATTTGAAATGGCATTTTTATTAGATATTATATCAAATTACTCATTTTCTCTCCAACCAATCAGTACTCTCGCTACCCAAATTTACGATAGCGAGGAATGATCAGCAATTCTAACAACGATATTTATATCAAAAAGTCCATAATAATGCGCCGAGTCGTCAAGTGTAAATCAATCAGGTCCATATCATTAGCCAATGCAACACAATTAGTCCAAAAACAAGCCAGGTCGCGGTATTGAGAAAAGCGGTGTGATTCGCAGTATTTGCAGATAACTTTCTAAGCGTCAGAACTTTACGAGGTGATAAAACAGACTGATTTTACTTACAATGTGAACGCTGCCTGTGCGCATTATTTCTTACGAATCAGGCGCGAGGAAATTTTCTTGGTACTAGCTCGACTCGGGGCGAACAGACTACAGTTTTTTTTTTAATTAACTAAAGAATGTTTTTTAATGAACTAAAGAATGTTTTTTTTAATAAAAGTGATTTATAAAATAAACATTTGATTAAGTTATGCATTTGAATTTATTATGAAGTCGAGTTTTAAGACAATGTCTCTTTTTTGCACGATACGCGGGAGATATTTTTGACGGTATCTTGACCGCCAGCAGACTGTTGCTCCTATTTTGTCTTTTAACTAATGGCTTGAAATAGATGTTAAAACGTAAAAGTGATGAAATAACAAAATAAGTTCTCCGACGTCGATATAAACCTCAAGTTATTTTATTCGCTTAGGCGCCTTAAAAACTTGTGTCTGTCTTTTATATACTTGTGATGTCTACGTCATCATTGACTCCTTACTGGCTTAGGTTGTCGTCAAAATATCCGTAAAACGTCGCAATGTGAAATATCAACAAAATATTGTTTAACAAATTTTGGTGATGTTTCATATTGCGATATTGTTATTTTTTGAATAAATTATTTTATGGAATAATTTGAAATTGGCACAAATACAACCGTACGGTACCATTACAACAGAAAAAAAAGAAAACATATTGCCTTTTGAAAATTTGACAGTTCGCGGAAGCAATACTGTATGATGCCCATTGTGTTCGGTCATCGCAAACCCAAAGGGAAGAGGCGTGTAAAACGAGCAATGGATGTTGTTTAAAGCGTAAATATTTATTTCGCCGTTGTGTCAAATATTTGCATAGAAATAGAAATAAATGTAATAGGGATGGGCAAGGGAAAAATATATATCGATATATATCGAATCGATGTTTTTGCCCTAGCCTAAAATGTAACCCATTATTATATTGTATGAGGGCGAGCGGCCTGTGTTGGTAAAGAAATCCGAAACAACACGATCGTTATTATTGTAATTTTTAAGTTTAAAAAAAGTAAATTGCAATAATGTGATTAAAAATAAGTAATTTTAATAATAGTTAACTACAGTACTCTATTGCTATTCCGCCGTTCTTGGACTGGAGATGCTTTCCTTTTTATCTTCAGATTTGACAGTGGTGCTAACAGCACTGTCAAATCTGAAGATCAATAGAAAAGCCTGAAGATGCCCTGAATAGCTTAGATATTTGTATTAAATGGGCCCAAGAAAATGGAAAGTCATGCGACATGGTTGCAATTTTATGTAAAATGCGCGATGAAGTTATCAAGAAGATATATTTTGGTAAAAAGAAGCAAAATTAAACCCATTTTTTTCGAAATTCGAGTAATTACTTTAATAAAAGATTCATGTTTGTTGATTTCTTAAATACAATATATAATATAATTAATAGAATCAGGCGTTACTTTGTGGAAATCCATTATATAAAAGCTTTTAGAAAAATTTACTTCGCAAATATCCGCGTTATAAAATAAAATGATGTGTCTTACCTAGTATGAAGAGCACCTCCCGCCCTCCCTCAATAGAATAGAATAGAATGATTTTTATTCAATATGGATTATTACATAATACTTATTGAAAGTCATTATTTTATTTACCACTGGTTCGGAAAATACCTCTGTCCTGGGAAGAACCAGCAAGAAACCCAGCGGGACTTTTTTTTAAACATAATTTCACTTAACAATAATTTTGTTTATACAATTTTAAATGAATTTTCATAGAACCAGCATGGTGGCGATCACCTTATTCCCAGGGGTTATTTTCATTCATGTATTCCTTGATATTATAATAACCCTTTTTGTACAGTTTTTCTTTAATAAAACTTTTAAACTTGTTTATTGACAAACTTTGAACATGTTCTGGGATTCTGTTGTAAAAGCGTATACATTGCCCCATAAATGAATTACTAATTCTGTGGAGTCTTGTAAGTGGCATTACAAGCTTATGTTTGTTCCTAGTGTTTAAGGTATGAACATCCTTATTCTTATTAAAGCTATTTATGTTTTTATGTACATACATTACATTTTCATAAATATATTGCGATGCCAAAGTTAATATGTTTATTTCTTTAAATTTTTCTCTAAGGGACTCTTTACAATTTAGATTATAAATCGCCCGTACGGCTCTCTTTTGCAAAACAAATATAGCTTCAATATCAGTCGCATTACCCCATAGCAAAATTCCATAAGACATTACGCTATGAAAGTAACTAAAATACACTAACCTAGCTGTCTCAACATCTGTGAGACTGCTAATCTTTCTTACAGCATATGCTGCAGAACTAAGTCTGCTTGCTAATTTAGATATATGGGGGCCCCATTGAAGTTTCGCGTCAATAGTAATACCGAGAAAAACAGTGGTATCCACAAGACTCAACTCCTCCCCATTTAAGAGCACATTGGTTTTCGAATGTTTTACATTAGGTATTGTAAATTTAATACATTTTGTCTTATTGCCGTTTAAGAGCAAATTGTTGGCGTTAAACCAATGTACTAGTTTCGATAGAGCATTATTTACATCGTCATATTTAATTGACTGCCGTTTCAGTTTGAAAATTAAAGAGGTATCGTCAGCAAATAATACTATATCGTGATTTTTTGCATATTGCGTGCACTATCCCCGTCACCACTAATCCCAGCACCGCTACTCCCAACACCACTACACTAGGCAAGACACACCACTGACAATAATACGACACGTGTTTCGCCTCTTCACGAGGCATCCTCAGGTGATATAGACTCTACAGTGGCTAACCGCTAAAGCCACGCAATACGCCGCAATTGAGGGAGGGCGGGAGGTGCTCTTCATACTAGGTAAGACACATCATTTTATTTTATAACGCGGATATTTGCAAAGTAAATTTTTGTAAAAGCTTTTATATAATGGATTTCCGCAAAGTAACGCCTGATTCTATTAATTATTTCAATTTGTTGTTGTGGACATCATAATCCGCCGATGGTTAGGATATTATGGTGGCAGATTAGCGAGAGAGTAGATAGTGTACTAATACAATAAAGGTAACGCCATCTTTTTTGTAAATTTGACGTGGAAAAGAGATTCTTTTTGCAGTAAAAAAAAAAATACTGAACAACTCGATATTTTTGTAACATGACGATTCAGCCGCGCAACAAGATTTAGTCTAGTGAGGTAATGAGCAGTATGGCTGCAACTAGTTTTATTGTAAGCCTAGGACCCCGTGGACTTATACTGTGACAGAGAGGAACGCCTGGGTATAGCTCTACCACTCCCGTATGTTGCTTTGTTCTTCTGAAAATTTTAATCAAATAGATCCACGTGTTTGATCCACTTCCATTATTTATGCTGTAGAAAATGAAAATATAAATGTATAATATAATAAATAAATACATATTTCCAGCATTAATGTACTGTCATTGATCTTGTAGCGGGTGGAAGGAGCCCGGGGAGCGGCCGACGCTCCGATTGGTAGTTCGGAGCTATTCTATATATGCTGCTTTAATTTCGGAACTTTGATAGCGCGATTTAGGCTTCGATGTGTTTTCGCTTATGGCGCGACGACAGCGCTCTGTCGCAATATCTGCTCGGGAGCGAATGAATGGGGTACTTGAGTAAGATGACGAAGTTTTTTTTTTTGTAATTGTAGTTTCCGAAGATTGTTGGTTGCGTGTTCATATCACGTCGGGGTCACCACTGTAGCGGGTGGGCGGAAAAGGGGAGATCTCCCGCCGGGCAAGGTGTTTTGCCCGGGGAGCGGCCGACGCTCCGATTGGTAGTTCGGAGCTATTCTATATATGCTGCTTTAATTTCGGAACTTTGATAGCGCGATTTAGGCTTCGATGTGTTTTCGCTTGTGGCGCGACGACAGCGCCGCCACAATCTTATTTAGAATATCATCAGAACCTTTAAATGTATGCACTAAGCGATTATAATCATCATCATCATTACAGCCCTTCACAAGTTCACTGCTGAATATAGGCCTCCCCCAAGGTATGCCACAAAGCACGGTCCCGAGCCACCTACATATATTGACATCCTGCATGTATTACCAGGTCGTCACTCCATCTAGTGGGGGGACGCCCTACACTTCGTCTGCCGGTACGAGGCTGCCACTCGAGAACCTTTCTTTCCCATCGGTTGTCGGTTCTTCGAGCTATATGGCCAGCCCATTGCCACTTCAGCATACTAATTCTTTGGGCTATGTTGGTTACTCTGGTTCTACTACGGATATCCTCATTTTTAAGTCTATCACGCAGATAAACGCCGAGCATAGCCCTCTCCATAGCTCGCTGAGTGACCTTGAGCTTTCTCATACGGCCAGCAGTGAAGGACCACGTCTCAGATGCATAGGTCATCACTGGCAACACGCACTGGTTGTACAATCTAATTTTGAGGTATGCCTGACGAGAAGATGTGTCGTAATCTCCTGAACGCTGCTCAGCCAAGTTGAATTCGATGATTGACCTTTCGGTCGCAGTTGGACTTACCTAGTCAGACTATTTGTCCCAGGTAAACATACTCGTCAACAACTTCGAGCTTAGTGCTCCCAACAACTACCGGCATAGGTATGACATGGATATTAAACATGATCTTTGTTTTGTCCATGTTCATCTTAAGACCTATCCATTGGGAAACACTATTGAGGTCATTGAGCACAGTGCTTAGGTCCTCCATCGATTCTACCATAAGGACTATATCGTCGGCAAATCGAAGGTGAGTGATGTACTCGCCATTGACGTTAATACCGTATCCTTTCCAGTCCTGTAGCTTGAAAACGTCTTCCAATGCAGCGGTGAAGTTTCGGGGATATTACGGTAGTCTTTCTTACATCTTATTAAAAATATTTTATTCTATTATTCCCGCAATGAATTGAATTGGATCAGATCGTTTTTATCATCAAGGATTCTGTGAACATAATATGAACATTTTTTTCAAAGCAAACTCAAACGACAGTCTGTCGAAATTAGTATTATAATATAAAATAATACATAAATAAAAAAAACCTTAGGTATGAGGTGATCGCCACCATGCTGGTTCTATTAAAATTCATTTAAAATTTGTACAAACAAAATTATTGTAAAGTGAAATATGTTTTAAAAAAAGTCCCGCTGGGTTTCTTGCTGGTTCTTCCCAGGACAGAGGTATTTTCCGAACTAGTGGTAAATAATAAAATTACTTTCAATAAGTATTATGTAATAATCTATATAGAATAAAAACTTATTCTATTCTATTCTGTTATAAACCTGCTCAAACCGAAAATATAATTTTGATAGGTTCTTATCGTTTAATATCGTCCAATATGAACGCGATTTAGGGACAAATAAGTTTTGGAAGTTAGCCAATTGCTTCCCACATAACTTCACACTATATACGCGTAACCATGAAAATAAACATCTATGAATAAATTCTCACGCTTTATCCACATTTCAGTATAGCATCCAGAGCAAATCGCCCGCGGACTCGCCATCCGTTATCTTAATCCATACCATTCTTTCATCTTAGGAAGCTGGCTCATCAATTCTGGATATCATTTCACCCGCCAACTGGTAAGATTTAATTCGTATTTCATAGCTATAACATTCAAGTTATATTTTTGTGTTGTTATTCAACATGCCATTTATATTCATGTCGCTGATTATTAAAACTAAATTTAAATAATGTTATAATCTAATATATAAAATTCTCGTGTCGCGGTGTTTGTTACCAAAGTCCTCCGAAACGGCTGAACCGATTTGTATGAAATTTTGTGTGCATATCGGGTAGGTCTGAGAATGGACCCACGTCTATTTTTCAAACCCTTAAATGAAGGGTGACCGACACCTAAATATTTATTTTATTTTATTGACATTTTTTTTATTATGGTTTAGCATAGACAAATACATAAAACTTCAAATTTTCACCCTTCAACGATCAATTCCCGTTTTTTTTATCGCGAATTTTAAAACTGAAAAACATTTCTTAGAAATAATAATATTATTTCTACCTTCGTATTAGTGGACTTCACATGTTAGATAGACAAGTTGCGCTGGCATATTATAGGATTATCCGAAGTCCGAAGAGAGGGGGAGGACACGGTAATCCTCGAATCCGGCAACTTGCTCTATCACCGGGAGGGCGACCATCTGTCCCAAGGAGGTGTCGGATTTATCGTCCACAAGTCTCTCGTTAACAACGTTGTAAAGATCGGGAGTGTGTCGACGAGGGTTGCGTACCTTATACTCAGAATTACCAAACGGTATTCGCTGAAGGTCATACAGGTTTACGCACCAACCTCGGCACATCCCGATGGGGAGGTGGAGGAAATGTATGAGGATATCTCTAGAGCCATGCATTCCTCCAAAACCCAATATACGGTGTTAATGGGAGACTTCAATGCAAAACTAGGCACAAGAGAGAACGGTGAGCTGAAAGTAGGGAAATTTGGAATAGGGCAACGGAACCCAAGGGGCCAGCAGCTGGCCGACTTCATGGAGAAAGAGGGACTCTTTATGATGAACTCTTTCTTCCAAAAGCGGCCCCACAGGAAGTGGACCTGGTCGAGCCCCGACGGTTCGACAAAAAATGAGATTGACTTCATTATGACGACCAGACGACAACTGTTCAGTGATGTCTCAGTGATCGCGAGGGTGAAAACCGGCAGCGATCACCGAATGGTTAGAGGCACACTGAACCTAAACGTTAAGTTGGAGAGGTCTCGTCTAATGAAGTCAACGCTCCGTCCCCCTCGTGCTCTGTTCCAAAGTCCCGAAACCTTTCAGCTCGAGTTAAAAAACCGTTTTCAGTGCCTAGAAGACTGCAATGAAGTGGACGCTATGAATGACAAGCTCGTGGAAACTGTCCATGCGGTCGGAGCTAAGTTCTGCAAGACCCGCCGCAGAAGAACACAAAAACTCTCCGATCACACTCTTAATCTCATGGCTGTTAGACGGGAGATGAAGCTACATTCTTCAACAGACTTGACAGCATACAGGCATCTGAACAGACAGATCTCCAAATGCATGCGGCGGGACTTACGCAACTTCAATACAGCTCGTATTGAAGAAGCGATCGAGCGGAACCAAGGCTGCAAAGTCTTTGCCAGAGATCTGTCTGCCAGAAAGAGCCACCTGTCAAAGCTGAAGACAGAATGTGGCAGCATCGTTTCCAGGACACCTGAGATTTTGAGTGAGATTGAGAGGTTCTATGGGCAGCTGTACACGTCATCGTTGGAGCCACACGCAAGTGTGAGTAACGATCCAAGAGCGAGTCTCATCCGACACTATTCCGAAGATATCCCGGACGTCAGTCTGAGCGAGATTAGAATGTCTCTCCAGCACCTTAAAAACGGTAAGGCCCCAGGCGAGGATGGAATTACAGCGGAGCTTCTGAAAGTGGGTGGAAGACCGGTACTTGAAGTCCTTCAGAAGCTCTTTAATTCCGTCCTCCATGGTGGCATTACACCGGAGGCGTGGAGCAGAAGTGCGGTGGTCTTGTTCTTCAAGAAAGGTGACAACGCTCTCTTGAAGAACTACAGACCGATTTCCCTTCTGAGCCGCGTCTACGTGCTGTTTTCGAGAGTCATTACGAATCGTCTCGCGCGCAGACTTGACGACTTCCAGCCTCCCGAACAAGCCGGTTTCCGAAAGGGCTTTAGCACCATAGACCACATACATACCCTTCGGCAAATTGTACAGAAGTCCGAAGAGTACAATTTGCCACTATGTCTGGCGTATGTGGACTATGAGAAAGCCTTTGATTCCGTCGAAATTTGGGCGGTGCTGCAGTCCCTTCAGCGGTGCCAAGTTGACTGTCGGTATATCGAAGTGTTGAAGTGCTTGTACAGTAGGGCTACGATGGCTATCCGAGTACAGAACCAGAGTACGAAACCTATCCAATTGCAGAGAGGTGTAAGACAGGGTGACGTCATATCCCCGAAACTCTTCACCGCTGCATTGGAAGACGTTTTCAAGCTTCTGGACTGGAAAGGATACGGTATCAACATCAATGGCGAGTACATCACTCACCTTCGATTTGCCGACGATATAGTCCTTATGGCAGAATCGCTGGAGGACCTAAGCACTATGCTCAATGACCTCGATAGTGTTTCCCAACGGATAGGTCTTAAGATGAACATGGACAAAACAAAGATCATGTTCAATGTCCATGTCACACCTATGCCGGTAGTTGTTGGGAGCACTAAGCTCGAAGTTGTTGACGATTATGTTTACCTGGGACAAATAGTCCGACTAGGTAATTTCAACTTCGACCGAGAGGTCAATCGACGGATTCAACTCGGCTGGGCAGCGTTCGGGAAGCTACGACACATCTTCTCGTCAGACATACCTCAAAACCTGAAAACGAAATTGTACAACCAGTGCGTGTTGCCAGTGATGACTTATGGAACTGAGACGTGGTCCTTCACTGCTGGCCGTATGAGGAAGCTCAAGGTCGCTCAGCGAGCTATGGAGAGGGCTATGCTCGGAGTTTCTCTGCGTGATAAACTTAGGAATGAGGATATCCGCAGTAGAACCAGAGTAACCGACATAGCCCAACGGATTAGTAAGCTGAAGTGGCAGTGGGCCGGCCATATAGCTCGAAGAACCGACAACCGATGGGGAAGAAAGGTTCTCGAGTGGCAGCCTCGTACCGGTAGGCGAAGTGTAGGGCGTCCCCCCACGAGATGGAGTGACGACCTGGTAAGACATGCAGGAAGTCGATGGATGCAGGTGGCTCAGGACCGTGCTTTGTGGCATTCTTTGGGGGAGGCCTATGTTCAGCAGTGGACTTGTGAAGGGCTGTAATGATGACATGTCTTCGAAATATTTTTTTAACTTGTTTACGGGGATTTGGAATAGAGCACAAGGGGAACATGCAGGTGACTTCACGCTGATTTTTAATCGGCAATTAAAATTGCAATGAATATATTTATAGGTATCGGCGCCGACGTGGATCTAATCCCGGTTGTTGGTGTACGGTAAACTTTATTAAAAATGTATAAATAAATGAATGATTTTTGTAATAAAAAATATTCACGAGCTCTATGAAATCAAAAATAAAACCTATTAATAAATTATTTTTGTGATAAGAAAATATTTACAAGGTTATGAAATTCAACAAAACATTATATTAATAAATTATTTTTGCAAAAGAAAATATTTACAAGCTTTATGAAATAATAAAAAACCGAAATAAAAATTATTTATATATGTTTACATTTGGTGTGAAATATTCGTAAAGAAACGTTCACGTTCCTGATAAATATTTGGGCAATTTGTGTATTATTTTACTTACTCATAATATTTTTTTTAAAACTGACGTGACTATTCTTAATGACGATATTTCGAGTTTAAGGAGAATGGAAGGAATACTTTGAAAGCGTGTTTATCAGTGATGAGACTTTTAAATTAAATTAAGTAGAAATTCCGAAATAAGACAAAAAAAGAAAAAAAGAAAAGAAATAAAGAGATACGTAAAGATGAAATAATGAAAGCAATAAAAAGTATGAAAGCAGGTAAGGCAGCCGGATATGATAGAGTACCTATCGCTCTATATGCTAAGGACTGGAGAGGGAGTGGTTACAGACCTGCTGTACATATTGTTCAATTTATGTTGGGAACTTAAGCGGGTAGCGGGAAACTGGTGCCGTGATAGTCCCAATATATATAAGGGAAAAGGATCGCAGCAGGACTGTAAAAACTACCGTGGTATCAGTTTTCTTAGCGATGTGGGGAAACTGTATGCTGAGTTACTAATTGAAAGAGTTATGAAAGACACTGATGGAAAAATTTAGGATGTGCAAGTGGAATTTAGAAAGGGAATGGATTGTACGGATCAGGTTTTTTCCTTGATCGCGGAGAAGTTATTGGACAAAAACCAAAAAGTTTTTTGTGCGTTCGTGGCCTTGGGAAAGGCTTATGACAGAGTGGACAGGGATGTGTTATGGCCAACACTGAAATCATTTGGGTTGAGCGCTGGTTTGATTCAGGCATTGAAGTCTCTATATAGGGACTATAGTGCTTGTGTCAGGATCAACGGGGCGTACTCGGACTGGTTTGGCATCCATAAAGGTGTCAGACAGGGCTATGTGGCTTCTCCGTGGCTGTTTAACCTATTTATGGACAGTTGTTTGGAAAGTTTGAAAGTAGAAGAATGCGGGTTAAGAATGGGTGAGTTAACCGTCAAAAGCCTTTTGTACGCCGATGATCAAGTCATACATGCGTCGTCGGCGGCCGAGTTGCAAATGATGGTTACATTAATGAACAGGTCATGAAAAGAAAGGGGAATGAAAGTGAATGCAAGTAAGACGAAATTTATGGTTTTTGAAAGAGATGAAAGTAAAACGATATGTGAAATAAGAATAGAAGGGAAGTTAGTCGAGCAAGTAGATGAGTTTGTGTATTTGGGACGTGTATTTAGCAGGGATGGTAGATATGATAAGGATATAGAACGCCCGATGAACGCAGGAAATAAAGGAAATGGGCTCTACACTCTATTGTGGAAAGTTAGAATGAATCTAAAATGGCACGTATGGCAATTCACAATGCTGTGTTAGTCCCTATTTTAATTT